GGTATAAATCCCACTTGATCATAATGTACAATCTTTGTAACATATTGTTGCAATTTTTTAGCTAGCATTTTATTTAGGATTTTTGCCTCCATATTCATTAATGAAATTGGTCTGTTATTTTCTTTTTCTGTTCTTACTCTTCCTGGTTTAGATATCAATATCATATTTGTTTTAAGGAGTTTGGTATTATCCCTTCTTTGTCTACTATTCCAAATAATTTATTTAATAAATGATTCATTTCTTTCTAATACATTAAATTAAAAGGTTTTTGTACAAATAAAATAAATGTAGCCAAGATTAGAAAGAAAGCAGAAAATTGGGGAAAAATTATAGACAATCAGATAAAGGTCTCATATCAAAAATATATAAAGAACTTTGTCAAATCTATGAGAATATGTCATTCCCCAACTGATAAATGGTCAAAGGATATAAAGAGGTAGTTTTCCAATGAAGTAATCAAAACAATTTATAGTCATATAAAAATACTCTAAATAATTTTTGATTAGGGAAATGTAAATTAAAACAACCTTGAGCTATCATTTCATGCCTACCAGATTGGCTAAAATGATTCAATGGGATAGAAATGAATGTTGGAGGTGATGTGGAAAAATTGGGACACTAATTAATTGTTGGTGGCATTGTGAACTGATCCAACCATTTTGGAGAGCAATCTGGAATTATGCCTAAAGAGTTATTAAACTGCCTATACCCTTTGATTCAGCAATACCACTACAAGGTCTGTTTCCAAAAGTGATTAGCAGAAAATTTTTTTTTAAAAATCCTATATGTTCTAAAATGTTTATAGAAGCTCTCTTTGTGGTGGCAAAGAATTGGAAATTGTGGGGGTACTCATCAATTGGGGAAGGCTGAATAAGTTGTGGGCTATGATTGTGATGGAATACTACTTGCTATAAGAAATGATGAGTTCAATGATCTTAGAAAAACATGAAAAGATTTGCATGAAATGATGAATAGAGAAGGGAGCAGAACCAAGAGAACATTATATACAAAAACAGAGATTTTAAGAATGACTTTGGATGAATAAGTTATTTTTACTATTATAAATGTGTAAATTAACCATAAAGGACAAATGAAGAAAGGCTCTATCTGCATATATAGAAAGAACTGATAAGTAGAAGGATATATAACATAATTTATATATATGTGTGTATATATATGTGTCTGTGTGTGTATCTAATGGTAGCCATCTCTAGGGAGAGGTGGGTGGAGGGTAGGAAAAAAGGGGAAAAAGAAATTTACATGATAATTTTGTTTTATATTTGAAAGGAATAGCAAATTGTGCATAGTACATTTGCAACTTCCTGTATAATCATGTTTTTATTATAATATGATATGGAAATACTTGTTTTATTCCATAAATATGTACTAATATAATAAAAAATAATAGGGAAAAATAAATAAAGCTAAAAGTTGGCTTTTTGGAAATACATATGTGTATATATATGTCTTTAGGTAATGTTGTTAAAAAAGAAGAAAGAGAAAAACCAAATGACCAGAATAAAAAACTGATAAAGAGGAATTCATAAGAAATGAAGGATATTATGAGAAACCACTTTCTATAACTATATCCCAATAAAAATAAATAACTTAAATGAATAAATGAGTACTTTTAAAATTTGAAGATAACTAGACTAAAAGAACGAGAAATAGTTTAGTCCAATCTCATAGAAAGAAAATAAACAATCTATAAATGAACTCCTCCAAAAAAGGACTACATGTTCACAAGTAATTTCTATTAAACCTTCTAATAATAATTCAAATATTTTGCAGTTTGCAAAACAAAAGGCAAAAGAAGAGATCCTACCAAATTCTATCTATTTCACAAATATGGTTTTGATACCTAAATGAGGGAGAAGCAAAACAGATAAAGAAAACCACAGAGTAGTATCTCTAATAAACATTGATGGAAATTTTTTTAAATAAAATACTAGAAAAGAGGCTATCACAGCATACCACTAAGATTATACATTGTAACCAGGTTGGATTTGTATCAGGAATGTAAAGTTGGACTAAAAGCAGGAAAACTACAAAATTAATTAATTGTATCAGTAACAAAAACATGATTATATTACCAAATGCAGAAAAAGGTATGACAAAATATATCAATTTCTGTTAACACTTAAAAATATTGGAACAAATGGACCTTTCCTCAATATGATATAGTTATATCTAAAGCCAAGAACTAGCATTATGTAATACAGATCAAGTAAAACTCTTTTTATAAGAAGATCAGGGTGAAACAAGAATGTCCTTAGCTATCACTTCTATTTGACATAGCGCTATAAATGTGAGCTATAGCAATAAGACAAGAAAAAGAAATTGAGGAAATGAGAACAAAGAAGAAACAAAATTATTGTTTTTTTTTAAGATAGTGTGATGATGTATTTAGAGAACCCTAGAGAACTAACTAAACTTAATTGAAACAATCAACATCTTCAGCAAAGTTGTAAGGCATAAAATAAACCCATGAAAAGCATTAGTATTGCTATGTAATGCAAATGAAAGTGTAAGACAAGAGAGAAGAAGAAATTACATTTACAATAACTATGACATGTATAAAATACTAGGAACTTGACCTATCAAGATACACCCAAAAACGATTTAAATACTACTACAAAACACTATTTATAGGAATAAAGACAGGTCTAAATAATTGAAGAAATACTAATTGTTCGTGAGTAGACAGAGTCAATAATAATAAAGAAATGCAACACTATTTAAATTAAGTTACTTATTTACCATCAATACCAATCAAACTTCCATAGGATTGCTTTATATAGCTAGAAAATAATAACCAAATTAATCTAGAGGAACAAAAGCTCAAGAATCTAAAGACAAATAATAACAAAAGGTAGGAAAGAAAGAGGCTTACCAGATCCCAAACTATACTACAAAGCAATACTTCTCAAAAATAACTTGCTGCTGGTTAAAAAGTAAAGAGATTAAGGGGCAGCTAGGTGGCACAGTGGATAGTGCTCTTTGCCTTGGAGTCAGGAGGACCTGAGTTCAAATCTGACCTCAGACACTTGACACTTACTAGCTGTGTGACCATGGACAAGTCATTTAACGCCAATTTTCTCACCAAAAAAGAAAAAAAAAAAAGTAAAGAGATTGCTCAATGGAACAGATTAAGTACATAACACAGAGAAGTAAACAAACCAAATAGCCTAATCTTTGAAAAATACAAAGACCTCAGCTTCTGGGAGAAGGCTTCACTATTTAATTTTAAAAAATAAATAAAAACTGGGAAATTTGGACTGCAGTGTGGCAGAAGGTAGGCTTACACTAACACTTCATATGTTATACTAAAATAAGCTCCTAAAGGGTACATGCCATAGACACAAAAAAGGCACATCAAAAACAAATGAGAGAAACAAAAAAGAAACTGCTTTTCAGAATTATGAAAAGGGAAAGGAACAGAGAAGGAAAACAAGCACCTACTATGTACTAGGAGCTGTGCTAACTGCTCCACAAAAATTATCTCATTTGAATCTCACAACTTTCTGATGTGGGTGCTATTTTTATCCTGATTTTATAAATGGGGAATTGAGGCAAAGATGGTTAAGTGACTTGAAAATTAAGTGTCTGAGACCAGATTGGACCACAGGTCTTCTTCACCAATTGGCCTAGAACTCTATCCATTGTGCTAGCTGACTGCCTCTAATAGGTGAAGAATTTATGAGCAAATGAGGGACAGAGAGGATCATGCATGATAAAATAGATGATTTTTTATTATATAAAATTAAAAAAGTTTTTTCCCCTACAAACACATCCAATATCAATAAAATTTGAAGGTAAACAATTAACTGGAGGATAAGAAACTTTGTAGAAAGTTTTTCTGGTAAAGGTCTTGTTTCTAAGATATATAAAGAATTTATGAAAATAAGAGCCATTCTCCAATTGATAAATAGTATAGAACATGCACAGGCATATCTCAAGGGAACAAACCTAATCTATTTATAATCATATGAAAAAGTGCTCCAAATTACTAGTAATTAGAAAAGTGAAGATCAAAGTTATTCTGAGTTTCAACTTAACACCCATCAGATTGGCAAAGCTGACAAAAAAAAAGAAAATGACAAATATTAGAAGGGCTAAGGGAAAACAGGCACATTGATTCACTGCTATTGGAGCTATAAATTGGTCCAATTTTTTGATAAGCTATTTGGAATTATGCACAAAAATAAACAATACTATATGCCTTTTGACCCATCTATACTGCTGCTAAATATTTACCTGAAAAGAGATCAAAGAAAGAGAAGAAAAATCCTATGTGTACAAAAATATGTATAGCAACTTTTTTATGGAAAAAAAAAATGGAAACAAAGTGAGTGCCAACCAATTGGGAAATGGTTGAACAAGTTATGATACATGAATAAAATAGAATACTACTGTGCTCTAAGAAGTGAGGGAAAAGACAATTTCAAGGGGACATGGAAATTCTTATATGAACTGATACAGAATGAAGTGAGTTTAACTGTAAGATAATTTTATACTACAACATGAATATCACTAAAATGAAAATTTTGAAATACTCAAGAATTCTTATCAACTAAATGATCAACCATGATTCCGAAGTACTGAGAAAGAAGAATCTTATGACAGAGAGATAATGGACTAATGGAGATGCTAGACTAATACACAAAATGTATTTTTGGATGTGACAAATGTGGCCTTTCTTTTTTTGTTTCTTTTTTCCCACTTTCTTCCTTGTTTCTTTCTTCCATTTCATATTTAAGGAGACCTCATTTAGAGGATAAACTTGTCATCTAGACTAACTAGTTTCTTGCCATCTTGCCATCTAGACTATAGCTAGTCAAAACCATCTGGATTTGCATCACCTTTTGCTAAGGTGATTTTTTTGTGGGGTGGAGAAATAATGAAGGAGGACCCATAAAATATGGCTTAGAGCTGAGATAAGAGAGAACCCACATCATGCCCACACTTGTTACAAAAAAACTTTCAATTACTGTACTTACGTTCTTGTATCATGGTGGCCTCTTTTTCAGTCTCTTCCAGGCTTCCTTGAAGCCTTGTGTGATGTGTATGGTGTTGGGTTATAACCTGAGGATTTTTCTTTTTGTCATCTTCCTGAGCTTTGCAAGTCTCTTCAGTTTTTGTTTCTGTTTCAATGGAAAACACATAACACATTCGGCAATTTGGGGGATGAAAGCTATATATATCTTAGCATAGAGCATGCTATTTCAGAGTGATACTTTGTCCTTTTTTGTACATAGGCTGCCTAGGAAAGGGGTATGACAAATTCTAAAGGACAGACTGGGCATAGTTTCAAAGCATCATTGTTTTGGTTTGCTCATCTAGAGCAAAGGATCATTCATCCCCCTATCTTCATTTTATAGAGGAAGAAACTGAAACAAAGAAATTAAGCCATCTTCCCATGTTCCCATGGCAAGTAACTGGCAGATTCAAAACAAGCACTTACCCATGCAGGATAAGAAAGCAGAAGCTGTTGCCAGAGGCTGAACAAGACCACCAGAAGCTGTCTCACCTTGTGATTGCTGGTAGGTACCACATAAAAGCAGGGAGATCCTAAACTATTGTTAGTCTTAATGTTAAGACTGGTCAGTTATACTATGATCTATTGTATAGTCGATTAGTCACCTCTGACTCTTCATGACCCCATGTGAGGTTTTCATAGCAAAGATACTGGAGTGGTTTACCATTTCCTTCTCCAGCACATTTTATGAATGAGGAAACTGAGCCACACGGGGCTTAAATGACTTGCCCAGGGTCATACAGTTGGTAAGTGTCAGAGGCCAGATTTGAACTCAGGTCTTCCTGACTCAAGGCTGGACACTATCCACTGTGCCACCTAGCTGCCCTTTATACTGTGGTAAATGAGCTACATGTTCTAAAAGGACAGTAAACAATATAGTTGAGTAAGGCCTTTTTTGTTACCGAGAAGTCCAGAGGGAAGTCCAGTGATCTAGCTAATTTTTTTGTGTATCTGCATTTGCGTTTCATTATGCTATATTTGTCCCTAGGGAAAGGCTTCTGCAACAAACTATGCCAGAAGCTGCTTGTGGTCTTAGGCATGTCATGGACCATATAGTGAAAGGTCAACAAGAGTTGCATTCTTGACCACATCTTTTGAGTACTTTCCTAACCTCACAGGCAAGTCTGTGTCAGAGGACATGGGACCCTGGTAATCAGCGGTCATGGAGTATATGCCCAAAGAACACACATGGCTCATCTTATGCTTACTTCACTCAGGTCCCAAACTAAGCAAGGTTAAGTGATCTGGGATAATAAACGTGCTCAGAGTGAATGAACCCATAGAACGCCTATAAAGAAGGATGAGATAACTTACATGCAAAGGTGGGTAAAAAACTATACATTATTTTGTTTAATGCCATGGAAGATATATATATATATATATATATACACACACACACACACACACACACACACACACACACACATGCACATACACACATATATGTATATGTGTATATATGTGTATATGTATGAATATATGTATGTATATGTATATGTGTGTATGTATATATATGAAAACAGCTATGTGAGAAATGTGCTATAATTCCCCACTGTTTTCAGATGAGAAATTTGGGTCTGAGAACAATTAAGTGATATTTGCCCAAGATGTCTGAGGCAAGATTCAAACCCAAGTATTACTGACCCCAAGACCAGTGCTCTATTCATTTCACAACATAGCCTCTGCCATGATTGTATCATATATGTCTCTTTAATTAATTAATAAAGATTAATATTGTCTTGACAACCAGTCTAAGTTCCTTGAATGCAGGAACAATTTCATCATATTGTATTACCTATAGCAGCCTGTACTGCTCAGAGACAAAATGGTCACCAAATAAATATTTATTGGCTGGCTGAATGGACATCTGATGGACGGAACACGGTATAAGAAGCCATGTGGCTTATCCAACAGCAGGCCTGATAAGGCAGCACAACAGTCATGTTGAGGAGTAGGGGGATGATGAGAATAGGGCCAGGTGGCACAAGAAAGAGCTCCAGAATTTAATCCTGGACATCAGGAAGGTTTTCAAGTAACCACTTGACTGGATCCCAGAGCCTGGTAAATCAGGAATAAGGACTAGGGAGGGAGGAAGTCTGAGAATGAGAGAACAGATTGCTGAGACATATGAGTGGACTGGTCAATTCTGTTTTCTTTAAGACCACACTAGACTTTTATAGAAACAAATGCTATTTCTATACTAGTACCTTGACACTTATTATCTGAGAAAATGCCAGAGTGCTTTGTGTCTTCATGCTACTAGATTTTTGGAAAATAAAATAAAAATCTGCTGGGCCTCTGTATTTTCTAGTGATTATTTCAAATAATCTACTTTGCTGTGCTAGGGAAGAAACAGCCTAAGAGAAACCCCTGCGATCACGCATATAAGGGCTACCATTATAAGGGTTCCAAATGTGCTCATGTTTCAGAGCATGAAGTAAACACATTCTCCACACATAGCCTTCAGCTCCATCCCTGTTGCCACTGAAGACTTGCTCATATTATAGTGGAAACTGTGTTAGCAAGAAGTAAACATTGTTCTCATTAAACAGGAGGCTGACACAGTTTCCCTAGCATAGGTAGCAAGACGGCTGTTTTCAGTGATGATGGAGCTCTTAAAGCCACCTCGAAAATCAGCAAGGGACTGACAGTTTTCCTTTTCCTCATGCTAAAGGCCACAAGATCCAGCTATACCCATAAACAATCGACAAGGCCCCCTAGCCTTTAGCCTTTCTATCAGAATGTCTTAGAGGGAAGGTTAAAGATGACATGAAAATATACATGCTGGTCCACCTGCCTAAAATAGTAAAACATACATGGTGTTCTGCCCCTCCATCCTATTGACTTTTTAATATGAATATATATTTTTATGGAACCAATATCTGTGGGAGTGATGGGGTTATGTGCCCACCATTCAGTTTGAAAACCCTTAGATTTTTAGATTCCCCTTACCTCCCTTCCAAAGCCTCAGCCTGACCTTTTTGGTCTTATTCAGATGCACCTTCCTCCCTGACCCTAAAAAGAACCTGGCTCCTGTTTGTCCTTAGAAACTGCCATTATTTCCCTTTGAAAGCTCTCTTTATCTCACTTTGAAAGCAGACTTCTTCCTTCCGGTTCCCTTCATTATCTATTCTCATTGTTTATTCAAATCTCTCAGACCTTCCAAGCGGAACTCTCACCCGGACCCTTTTTCCCAACCACCTCCCCCATCAACTGGCCTTTCCATTGTTTTACCTTCCTATGGCCCTTGGCCATTTCCCATCCTTGATCTTAACTAGATGCCACGAGGTCCAGGACCCAGGAGTTCTGTTCACCCTAGCTTACTAGCCACTCCCACCCAGATCTCCTTAGACCTCTCCTCCAGTCACTCCAAACTACTTGGCCACTCCTAGATCCCTCCCACAGTCTTTCTGTACTTAAGATTCACCTTTGCCCCATTCTGATGCTGGCAATTTCTCACGCCCAAAGGCTGAGATTCTCACGCCTGCTCATCCTTATGGGCGTCACCTGGCATATCCACTCTAGCCCCCATTTAGATCACTGATGTTTGGGTTCCTTGGGAGTCTGCCCTATATGCTTTATCTTTAATAAACTTTTTCTCTGGCTGGAAGAAGATTTGGGTTGAATTCATTCAGGCAGACCCGCGTCGCAATCTTGGGGTTCAGCACCCCAAAACCTGTACACCTCTTCAGGAGTACCTGCTGTTATTACTGGTAGATGTTGGCATTCTCTGAGTAATGTGGGGAGAAAACAGAATTGGTGACATATAGTAAATTTGGAGAGAGGCATAGATAAATATAGATGAGGCTGAAGAGAATGTCGGTGAGTCTAATGATTTCTGAAAATTATTGTCAAAGTTATATTAATGGCCTTTAAACATGGATGAGAGTGTCTCTGTGGGACTCAGTAGCAAAAAGCTAGTAACTTGGAGCCATATTTTCCCTACTCTCCCACAGCTTAATCCTGAATTTGAAAACAATTTAGTATATGCCCTGAGGAAAGTCATGGTATTTTGGGCAAAGGGATGGGGGACCAGACTTGGAGCCAGAAAAAAAAAAGTGTATTTAAAACCTCAGTTCCATTATTTTTAAAATGGGGATAATAATAGTACCTAGGGAAGTAGGATATGATAGGGGTTAAAGAGTTGGATTCTAGGAATAATATCTGGGTTCAAGTTCTTTCTCTAACATATAGTGGTTATATGACCCTGGGCAAGTCATTTATCTTCTCGATGGCCAAGACAACACTAATTATTATAAATACAGTGCATAGGTAGAGGAGTCTTCCATAGTGGGAGTTCCCTATACTGAGGAAATAACAGCTCTTGTCCAAAGAGAGTGGGTGGAGATAACACTTACCTAATCTGGGCTTGTCATGAAGAATCAGACTTTTTCAATATGGTGGTTAATTTTGCTATCCTTTTTTATTTCATTTAGTTTTCATAACAAGGAAAAGAAGGGGACAGAAGGAAAGATATATTGGAAAATATTGGTAATATAAAAATAATATATCAAATATTTTAAAGAAATTAGGAGATTGAGATGACAGTAATATTTTTTCTCTAGGCTTTTAGTGAGACTAGTGGTGAGCTTACATGCCCCCCATTTTGTACAGTTACAAAAAGCAATCATTTAATTCATCTAAGTAATAGTTTGCCAAGCATTAAACATAAAAGAACCACAGCAAGATCCCAGGATCATCTCTGTCTGAATTCCACTGAATAAGATGAAAAGAAATGAAAATTATTATGATCATCATGGTCATAGTGATAGCTTATATTTATACCTCATTTTAAAGTGACATATATAGGATAATGTATATCATACAAATATAATTGATTTCTTTTGCAGTTTTCTATATTTAAAAACAATATCCTGAGAAGGGTCCATAGTCTTTGAGCAGAGTGCTAAAGGAGTCCATGACACCAAAAAGATTAAGAATCCTTAATATATAGATACATGGGGCTACATATATCTAATTCAGTGATCCTGGAGCTGGTCATTGAGCCCATTCCTTTGGCTCCAGGCATCAAGGGATCCTATTCTTAAAGAGTTTTTAATGTCTCTTTCAGTTGAAATATATTATATGATTCTGTGACTCTGAACTATGGGAAAGAAAATGTAGGCATAATGGTAGTAAAAAAAACAGCCACATTTTCAGTATACTTTTAGATTTTCAAAGCATGCTCACATATATCTTTTCAGTTCATCTTTACCTCAACCCTGCAATTACTAGGACAAATACTAGCAAATGAGGAAACTGAGGCTCAAAAAAATTATTTGACTAGCCAGAAGTCACGCACCTAGTTAGTGACAGAGCCGGGAGTTTAGAAGTTCTCATCTTCTAGTCCCATACTCATTCCTCTGAATGACAAAATCACATAGTCTTTCTTAAAGAAATATTTCAGTGTCCTCCAACCAATGATTTACCGTCATACAATTAACAAGCTAATTTTTCTATATAGGATACTTCTAACTATATTCTTTGTTTGCTATAGAAATAACAACATCAATAAAAATAGTCTCTTTATACATGCATTGCATTTTATATTTTACAAAGTGTTTGACATTATCTCATTTGATTTTCATAACAATCCTCTGAAGTGGGCAAGAAAATATTATTATTCTCATTTTTCAGACAAGGAGATACAGAGTTGAAGTGACTTTCCAAGGATCATAAGTAGAAAAATCAAGATTTAGATCTGAATTTCAGACTCCAAATCAATCCATTAACAAGTATTTATTAAATGCCTATTATATTCCAGACACCATGCTAAGTGTTGGGAATATAATTACAAAGGGGCAACAGTTTCTGAACTTACAGAGTTTACATTCTATAGGTAGGGAATCCATTGATAGATAACTAAATACAAGATGTGTACACAGGGTCAATTTTGTTTAGGTTAGGAGTTCCTAAACTTTTATGTATCATGGACTCCCTTTTTTAGTCCGTAAAATTTATGGACTCCTCAGAATAATGAATTAAATGTATAAAGTAAAATACTAAGGATTACAAAGAAACCAATTATATTGAAATACAGTTTCTAAAATATATAAAAAAACAAATTAGTGAACCTCAGGTTCTCCAAGTCAAGGAAGAAATGGAAGACTATATACTGATGAAATAAGCTCAGTAAGTTTTATGTGGCCAGTTATCCATACAGGAGTATAAGAGATGTCATTGGTGAATAAAACTATCCTTACTTATTAGAAACCAAGACATTTTAATTAATGCCTGCATTTCACAGATCAAAACAGGCATTTTCTTCTTTTGGGAATGCAAACTTACTTTTGAGTTTTCTTTTCTTAAACCAACAAAATACCAGAAAGCACAAAGCAACCCATGAGGCAGCTGAACACAAAATAAGAGCCATAAGGATAGTAGATTTCTCTCCCATGTTAACAGGAAACACTGCAAATGGTTCAGATCGAACTGTAAATTTGGCACCTAAAAGTAAAAAAAAAAATAATGAAAATAATTAATTATATTGTACTATAAAGAAGCAATATAACCATGATGGAAGGTTATTCTTTCTGAGCAGCTCTCATCTCTCAAATATAGTATTCATTTATTTATTCAGCAAACATTAACTGAGCACCTTTTGTGTGCAGCACATTGTTTTACATACTACAGAAGACACAGAGTTAAGATATGTCATGCTCTCTACCCTTATGGAGTTTATTATCTAAAAGACAGAAGTAATCACTCTGATTTTCCATTTCTACATTTTCACAAAGTAGACTACATATATTCTCTTCTCTAGATCTTGAATAATTATAGGGAAAATTACCTAGTTTGAACCTCTCTGAAATTCTTCACTTGAACCACTTTTATGTATGGTTAACACAACAGCTCTCTCCTCTATACCACTTGCACAGTTCTTGGCTCTGACATTTAAAAACAATCACTTTAAAAATAGAAAATGTTTCCAAGTAAATATTTGCTGAATGGATGAAGTAGGGAAAAAATAAAATAAAAGTAAGAATAAAGGAACCAGTGCTACACAGACTAAAAACAAAACAAAAGAAATAACCCTGGAGCAGGTAGTTGGCACAGCAGATACAGTACCGGCCCTGGAGTCAGGAGGACCTGAGTTCAAAGGCGATCTCAGACCAGACACTTGACACCTAATAGCTGTGTGGCCGTAGGCAAGTCACTTAACCCCATTGCCTAGCAAAAACAAACAAACAAAAAAGAAAGAAAGAAAGAAATAGACCATGTACATATTTCTAATAGAAAAGGCAAATAATCACAATTGTCCAACATTCAATATCCATAACAGTATAAACCACAAGGAGAAAGATTTCATGTATGACAAGAGCTCCTGAGGAAAATGGAAAGTAGTTGTGTCTAAAACAAGTTGAAACCAATATCTTTCTTAGACTATACACTACACTAAACTCTAAAAAAGAAATAAGTATAATCACAAAAAAAGTTAGAAGAGACCAGAAAAGGGGGAACTTTCACAAATATAAGGGGGGGGGTCTGTAAGTCAATAAGTAGTAAATGAGAACATTTCCTGAGTGTAAGGCAAACCCTCAGAGATTTAAAAATTTGTATTGAAGTCAAATAAAATGTATTCTTGAGGACCTTCTCAGAAGCTGGGGACTTTGTGGTCTTCTGATGCAAAAATAGAATGTGGCAGAGTGAAAGAAGCTCCCTTTTATTTGATTCTCAAGGTGTGAATGGTATCTAGTGCAGAGGAGAGGAGTGAATAGAAGAAAGATAATTTAGTTTTGATTATATAAAAATTTTACAGTTTATTTATATCTGAACAAAATCAATGTATCTAGACTATAAATAAAAGCTGTGACATTTGGAAGATTTTTCTTGTGACACTTTGATAAAATTCTGATACCCAAGATGCATTGAGAATTAATAGAAATAAGTAAGACTAAGAACAATCCTCTGATAGTAAACATAGAATATGAACAGTTTAAAAAAAGAAATGAAAAACTATCAACAACCACACAAAAAGGTTCAAATCTAAAATGAATGCAAATTTTAAAATTCTTATCTTTAACTTCATAGTCAACAAATTAGCAAAGATGGTAAAATATGGAAATAGTCAATGCTGGAAGGGCTGGTAGAAAGTCAAGTACACCAATACACTCTTGGTGGAACTAAGAATTTATTCTATTTTTAAAAAGCAATTTTGAATTTTATGAGAATATTGTTAACATTGACATAAACAATCCCACTCCTAGGCATTTACTTCAAGGAGGTAGAAGACATAAAATACTCATAGGAGCACTTTTTGTCTCAGGAAGAGAAATAGAAACAGATGTATTTCCATCAATTGAGGAACAGAAAAAATGGATGAGTAAATTGTGATATATGAAAAGAATGGAATATTAATGTACCATAAGAAATTATGTATACAAAATACTTAGAAAAACATAGGAAGCTTTGTATGAATGGATGCAGAGCAAAGAAAGTGGAATCAAGATAACAATATCCCTAGGCAGCATTCAAAAACAAAATTATTCAACTGAAATGTAATGATCAGTTATGGTCCTTGAGACAGATGATAACCTTTCGTTTCAGCTGGGTATAGAGTTCTTGAACTAGGAATGAAAAATGTCATATATCCAATCAGACATGAGTTTTATGTTGGTTTGTTTTACTTAACTCTTCCTTGTTCTGAGGGAGAGATCTATAGAGTAAATGTTTATTAGGAAAGTATAGTAATGCAATAACAATATAGATTGATAAATATTAAAAAGTAAACACATGAGTAGAATAAATAAATAGATGTAGACTATATTAAAGAAATATTAAAAGCTGCCATTGAACAGAAATTGAGAGACCCAGATTTTATTCTTAACTCTATTAATATGTGACCTTGGCTAAGATTTTTTTTGCCTTTCTGGGCCTCAGTTCCCTCATCTCTAACAAGAGGGAATTTTATTTGATGACGTTAATGTCCCATTTAGCTCTTTGATACTAGTTTATTCTGCTTATGTGAATGAGGGAAGAATCATTCTCCCATCACTACACAAACTCATAGAAGGCTCTGAGAGATTGTCAGGGTCTTGTCTCAAATCAATAGATGAGAAATCCAAATTCAACTTCCTGACATTAAAGATGACAAAGCCACAAGAGTATGTAAAACTTGACTATGATCATGAGTAGTTATGGTCAGAATTCTTTTGGAAACCAAAAACAAGCAAACAAATGAAAAAGCAACTGTTTTTATCTGAAGAATGAAGAAAATTCAGGTAAGGCTAGGGAGTTTTGTTTCTTCTAAGTTATTCGGGAAATGCACTGATCCTTCAAGATTCTATTAGTCCTAGAACTCATACTTTGTCAGTACCCTCTGCCCTTGGGGTTCCTCTGAGTAGGGTTCTCTCTGATGGAGAGCTCCTCCCCAAACCTCCATTTAAAGAGAGCACCTAGGCTAGCCATCTCTTCATTCCCCACTTGGCTACATTCCTTTGTGCTTCTCCATCATGCCTTTGTGCCAGGCACCTTTCCCCACTCCTTTCAGTTTCCTTTTCTGTGTTGTTTCTCCCCATTAGATTGTTAAGCTCTTTGAGAGCAGCAACTCTTTCTTTCTTTCTTTCTTTCTTTCTTTCTTTCTTTCTTTCTTTCTTTTTTTAAATTTGAATCACTAACACTTAGCACAGTGCTTGGCAAAAGTGCTTAGTAAACGTTTATGGACTGATTGATTCTCTTGTTTCACTTTGGCTGTGTTGACCTAGCAAGTTAATAATGGGATGGATTGATTACATAAATTGTGGGTGAGTGTCTTCTTTCAGTATCATGTTGTATTAAATAGAATCGAGACAGCCTTGTAGCACCAGAAATATTGTTGCTTAGCAGTCTTCTTAGTACCGTGCATAATAACCCATTGGTCATTACATATGAACATCTTGCTCTGAGTTTCATTTGATTTGGTTACCAATGAATACATGCAAGCAATTTTTTTTTAAAAGAGAAATTCCATGTTTTAAATGTCAGCACTCTTCTGGTGATGTTAAATGGTTGCAGATCATAGAATATCATAATCTCCAAGGAATCAAAATTTCAGATCACTCAAAGGGCAAAGGAAGAACATATGGGAGGAATAAATAGGTGGTAGCATATTAACAATGGCAAATAGTATGCATGAAGCTGGGTAAAGAGTATTCTCAAAGCAATGTATGCCTAGAAAAGGAGAAAATCTGGTCATGTAACAAGAGCCAGGTATAATAGAATCAACCAATGACAAACATTTATTAATCAACTGCTATATTCTAGGTGCTATCCTAGGTGTTGAAGATACAAAGAAAAACAGTCTGTGAAATTCATTAATATATTCATTACATTAAGACAGCTAGAAGTAAGCCTCCAATCAAGTTCTCTTGTGGAGGTTTTATGACAGGACCTGAATAAGAGGTACCCAGGATAAGAAGGAATGGTTAGGTTGTTATCTACATTCAAATTCTAATACATGCAACCACTTCATGTGATTCATTACTTGCACTAATTGGGACCTAACTGTGTTGCACTGGAAGGAGTACTAGAATCAGTGAGATCACCAATCCAGGGAAGTAATGAATTATTAAAAAAAAAAAGAGCAGGTTTAGCTGAGCCTCAGAAAAGAGAGATGTATCCTATCAAGCTTTTACTGCAACACCAGCATTCATTCATTCGATTGTTCATTTACAGAATCACAACAACAACAAAAAAATTGTGAGTTCCTGCACTATACAAGATACAATGTTAAGGACTGTGCATGATGGGAATTTTCACCATAGTAGCTGATAGGCTCTTATAGTTGGAAGAGTTACTTAATTTAAAGGTGAATATGGAAGGGAAGTGACTAAGGAAGACTGTGTCCTCCTCTTTTACTGTTGAGGAAACTGAGACCCAGGGAGATGTAATGACTTGTTTAGGGTCACACAATCAGTAAGCCACAGAAAGAGGAATCAAACAAAATTCTTCTAATTTCAATTCTTGTACTTTTCTTCCATCAACCATCATCATAGAATTTATTATCCATTTTGGGAGATGACATAAGCAGAACAATTGTAAAAGAAGATGATATACAGCATATATTCAATAAGTGGAACTTGTTTGGATAACTGTAAGAGCTAGTGAAGCATAGAAGAGGAGAGTTTACTTCTGCCTGGAGTGATAAGGTAAGGCATAATGAATGAAGTAGCATTTGAGTTGGTAGAAGGACAGCACTAATTCCCATTTATATTGTGCTTTAAGACTGACAAAGAGCTTTTCTCCCACCAATACTCTGAGGCAGAAAGAATAAGTATTATTATCCCCAATTTAGAGATGCAGAAATTGAGGCTTAGAGAGGTTAATGACTAATCAAATAGCTACTATGTGTCAGAAGCAGGGTTTGAAACTCATCAGGTCTTGCAATTCCAAAGTCAGTGCTTTTTGCACTCCACCAGACTGACTCTTAAAGGGTAAAAAAGGATGTGGTATATGAGGAAAAGAGGGTT